CCAGATGAGCAGAGTTTGTGGCAGTAAAGTGTGGATTTAAACAAAACCGAAGGATTTAAGAAGAAAAAACGTTAAGGATGACAAGGGACACTAAAATCCCCACAAAATGCAACCTTTATTAAAGCTGTAGGTTCTCTGTCAGCTGAGGTTGAACTGTTTTAATATGCAGTATCTGGAGTACCGCGAGAATCCCCCGAGCACATGGGTTATTCAGCTACAAGCTAGTAATACCCTATCCAGTTAATATAATAGATCCATGACCCCACCGCACTCCCTCGCCTCCTCCTCACCAGCAACAAGTGAGTACAACTTTGCAAACACTCAGATTCATTTATTTATTTACTTGCCATTTGCAGTAAAACCACATTGGAAAAACTGTGCAAGACTACCCCGGTGTGCACCAGACAGAGAAGACGACACACACCAGAGCTCTTGACACTGCTCCCTGTCTGTCTGGCATTGTATTACCAGTCCAACCACTGAACTGTGCTGACTCCTTTCTGACTTTGGGAGCTAAACAACAACAAAAGTTGTCACATTTTAGGCCAATTGAGACTGTGTGTGTTCCTCGCACCAGCTCATTTTATTTTCCAAATTCTGAAAAACGAAGAAATCATAACAGGACAGCAGTTAGACGGTCCAACTAAGCCAATCTCATTTCTGTTCAGTGTATAAATCAATCAACCACATTAATTGACTCTGATAGTATTTTTAAATTTGCTGTGCTTAATGTCAGATCTCTATGTAACAAATCCTTTTTAATTAACAATTTTATAGGTTCTTATGATCTTGATTTTATGCTTATGGCTGAAACTTGGCTTGACCAAAATACAGAAAATGCGGTTTTAATAGAAGCAACACCACCCAATTTTAAATTTGAATCCGAAATACGAGAAAATAAAAGGGGGGGAGGTATAGCTGCAGTTTTTAGAGATCATTTTGTCTCCCATAGAATGTCCCTTGGAAAATGTTCATCGTTTGAGTACGTTTCTTTTAAAATAGAACAAAAGCAATCGTCTATTCTTGTCATTGTCCTGTATAGGCCACCACAGTCATGTTGCGATTACTTTCAGTTGTGTGCACAGACTTTGATAGTCTAGTTATTACAGGTGATTTTGATGTACATGTTGATAATGTTTATGACAGAAATGCAAAGGAGCTGATTTCTGTGTTTGAGACCTTTGGTTTCATTCAGCACGTGAGTGGCCCCACCCACAGCCGAGGGCACACTCTTGACCTGCTAATTACAAAGGGGGTTAATGTATCAAATGTTTATGTAGTCGATGTTGCTCTGTCAGATCATTTCTGTGTGTTCTTTGACTTATGTTTTGCTAGCAAACCACCAGCTGAATCTACAATTGTTAGAAGAAGACACATACATGAAAACACGAGTGAACTGTGAATGATAACATTTGAGAGCAGTCCATGGCCTACTGTTGATGAATTGCTTAACTCTGTCACCACCAGTGTTTTGACTGTTCTGGACGCCATCGCTCCTGTGACAGTTAAAATGGTTACCAGTAAGCAAAGGTCTCCATGGACTAAGGCGGACTCGGTCAGGGCGCAGAAGCGAGAGTGCCGGAGGGCCGAGCGTAAGTGGCGAAAGTCCAACCTCCAGGGTGATTATGAAATCTTTAAAGATGAGTTGGGTAAATTTAACCGGGTTCTACGTAGAACAAGAGAAATGTTTTTTGAAGGTTGCAGTAACAATCTTTGTGTTTTTTTTTCAACAGTTAGTAGATTAACAACCCCTCCTGTTAAGTTGCCCCTGAAACTTACCTCCAAATCTAAGTGTAACGAGTTTGCGCAGTTTTTCAATGATAAAGTACAAAGAATCAAAAACACTATCACCTCCACAGCACGTATAACAATGCAACAGCCAGCAGGGCATTTTGAGCTAACCCACTTTGCACCTGTGGATACTGAAACTGTCAAAAAGATAATCACAAGTCTGAGTTCCTCCACATGTAGCCTGGATATATTACCCTCTAGATTTCTAAAGTCTGTTATGAGCATTTTGTTACCTTCACTGACACAAATAATAAACATGTCTCTTTTATCTGGAGCATTTCCAATGGCCCTGAAAACTGCAGTCATAAGACCTCTCCTGAAAAAGAGCAGTCTGGATCCTGCAGTACTTCAAAATTACCGTCCCATATCGAATCTGCCATTCATTGGAAAAATCCTTGAAAAAGTTGCCTCCCAACAACTCACTGAATTTTTTACAATGAATAATTATTTAAGGTAAGGTTTGTTATATAAGGTAACAAACGACATTCGACTTCACACTGATGCAGGTAAAGTCACAGTTTTAGTCATGTTGGATCTGAGTGCCGCATTCGACACTGTCGACCATGAGATCCTCATGCAGAGACTGGAGGACTGGGTTGGTGTTGCTGGCACCGCCCTAAACTGGTTTAGATCTTACCTGGAAGAGAGGAAGTACTTTGTGGAGATTGGAGACTGTGTCTCAGATCATATGGCCCTGACCTGTGGAGTCCCACAGGGGTCGATCCTGGGACCTCTTCTGTTCAATCTCTACATGCTGCCACTAGGTCAGAAACAAAGTGTCCTACCACAATTATGCCGATGACACGCAAATCAATATTTCACTGACTGCAGGAGAGAATGGACCACTGGATTTGCTCCTCCACTGTATCCAACAGATCAGTGAGTGGATGCAAAATAACTTCCTCCAGCTAAATGCAGACAAGACTGAAATCATTGTCTTTGGTCCCCAGAAACAAAGAGAGGGTGTCATTTGTCAGCTTCAGTCTCTCTCACTAAAACCCTCAGAGAAGGTTAGAAATTTAGGGGTAATACTGGACTCAGACCTAAATTTCAATAGCCACATGAAATCAATAACATCAACAGCTTTTTACCATCTGAAGAACATTGCCAAAGTTAGAAATATAGTGTCCAAATCAGACCTGGAGATTCTTATCCATGCATTTGTCTCCAGTAGGTTAGACTACTGCAATGGCCTGCTCACAGGTCTGTCCAAACAGGCTGTAAAACAGCTGCAGTACATTCAAAATGCAGCAGCTCGAGTCCTGACTAGAACCAGGAAGTACGACCACATTAGTCCAGTCCTCAGGTCACTGGCTTCCTGTGGCTCAGAGAATAGATTTTAAAACAGCTCTGCTTGTGTACAAGTCTCTCCATGGCCCCGCACCAAAATACATTGGTGACATGTTGGTCCCGTATGAACCGAGCCGGACTCTGAGGAGCTCAGGGACTGGACTCTTGCTGGTGCCCAGAGTGAGAACCAAACATGGGGAGGCTGCATTTCAGGTTTATGCTGCTAAAATCTGGAACAGTCTACCTGAAAATGTGAGAGAGGCGTCTACGTTGACAACGTTTAAATCCAGGTTAAAGACTCTTCTGTTTGCCTGTGCATTCAACTGAAGGATTTTTGCTCATTTCTTAATGCACCGTGGTTATTTATTTTTTAATTCCCTCTGTAATTTTAAAGTTTTTATGGTTTTAATTTTTGTGTGTTTTTAAATGTTCTAATTGTTGTTTCTGGTGTTTTATGTGATGATTTGTGAGGTGGACTGTGAAGCGCTTTGTGTTGCACGTGTATGAAAGGCGCTGAACAAATAAACTTTGATTGATTGATTGATTGAACCGCAGGCATCAGAGGTTGGGAAATTAAAAAGAAATCTATTCGCGAAAAGGATGCGTGCGGGGCGGAATAAAAGGTATAATCCCTACCCATTGGGTTTTGTAACAACCAGACATCTACTAGGGTAATGAATAATTTCCTCTTGTTGTGCGAGTAAGACTTTTACTCCAGTCTAACGTGCCATCCATCACCTCGTTATAATCATCTGCCAACAAAACGGGATAATTCCCCAGATCAGAAATCTTTTTTTTCAACTGGCCAAAGAAGGACGGATTGTCGACATTGGGAGCATAAATATTAGCCAAAATGATAGTTGTACCTTGAATTTCACATAGCATAATTAACATCCTACCTGCCTCATCTGTACTTTGTTTTAAGCATTTAAATTGCAAACCCTTGTTAATTAATGTGGCTACTCCTCTACTTTTGCTAGTTCCACTGCATGAGCCAACAAAGCCCACCCAGCCAAAACAGAGTCTCTGAGACTCTTGACGAGATAGATGTGTCTCTTGGACAAAAACAGTATCACAGTTTTTAGATTTAATAAAAGATAGAATCTTTATTTTCTTTATGGCATTATTGAGACCTTTGACATTCCAGCTGATCAGTTTTAAATTATTAGGTGTTATTATTGATCAAAATGATAAGAAGTAAGTGGTGCTGTGAATTTAAATGTATTGGCATCAAAATATAACTAAACTAAAGAAAAAATAACATGGAACAAAGTGAACCCATCCCCCCCTTCTCCCCCCAAAACCTCCCTTACTAAGGTCCGCAAACATACACTCAACTGACGCTGCCCACAGCACCCAGCGACCCCTCCCCGCACATTAGTGGGTTGGCAACGAAGTATTATCAAGTAATAAAAAATATCATAACATGTAGAATTTTAGCTGCAACAAAGAGCTTTGCATTTATCAAAACAACAGTTGTGAAAAACAACAAAAAATCGTGAATCTTTCCCCTCACCTCTAAAAGTCCTCTCTCCATCTTAGTATCAAACCTTGTTGACAGAAGTGCCTAGCGAAGAGTGACCGCACAATAAGAGTGTCTTCATATAGTCCGTGTGTCATCGCGAGCAGAGTCCCTCAGTTCAGCGAGTGGATAAACGACATGGCCCTCTTGTGGTCTTCAAAACGCATGGGTCCCTGCGCAGTCTTCACAACGAGCACAGCTGGATAGTTCAGTGAAAAACGAATGTTCTTGTCGTGTAGAAGTTTCTTACAGTCCTTAAACTTAGCCCGTTTTTCGTTCAGCATCCTGTTATAATCCGGGAAGACCATAATGCGTCGTCCTCCCCAAATGACATTCCCCTTCTTCCGTGCGGCTTCAGCATTACGCTCGCGATCCTGAAATCTCAGAAATCTTGCTATTATAGCTTGGGGCGAGTGGACTGGTCACCATCCTGGCCTCTAGGCATGGCTCCAAGCCTATGTGCTCTGTCAATCTCCAATCCTTTGGCGAAGTCAATGTCAAACAGTGTCGGAATGATTCCCTCCAGGAAAGCGACAGCATTATTTTTCTCACACAACTTGAGGAATCCAACGAAGCGTAGGTTACATCTACGTTCACAATTTTCCACATCATGCAGCTTCTCCCTGAGCACTTCGACTTCTTTGCTAGTAGCCGGTGGATTGGCCTCCAGCCTTTCCTGTGCGTCCTCCATAAACCCCGGTCGACCCTCCACGTTGCTAATGAGGCTAGCAATGTCGGCTTGCTTACTCTCCGAGGCGCACGTTGTGTTGCGAATCTCCTCCGGTTTCTCATCATGGTTGTCAGACTTCTCCAGTATAAGCGCATAGAGCTTAGCCATCTCCCGTGCCACCTCACCAGGTACACTGGGAGAGTCCGCAGCGGGCTCCTCCTCCATCCCAGAGCTGGAGGAGAAGATGGAGGCCTTTGGTTAGCATTAGCCTTAGCTTGACGTATGCTAGCATCCTTGGTGCTTTTACTGCCCCTGGTTCCTGTTGTCGTGGTCGTTTTGGATGCGCCTCTCGTGGTGTTCGGCATAATAGCAAATGGGAGTACTACTAGTAAGTAAGTAAGTAAGTAAGTACGTTTTTATTTATATACCGCCTTTTCACTGCAGATCTGAGTCTCAAAGCGGTTTACAATTGTTAATTATGGGCATTTGTCTCTCACTCCACACAGAGATGGGAGCGGGGTCGCCAGTACAGGAGGCACATGCCAGAACTATTGGACATATTTTTAGTGGTAGGGGAAACCGGAGTACCCGGAGGAAACCTACGCAGACACGGGGAGAACATGCAAACTCCACTCAGAAAGGCCCTGGTCCGACCGGGATTCGAACCCAGGACCTTCTTGCTGAGAGGCGAAAGTGCTATCCACTCAGCCACCGTGCCTACTGCGTAGGTATGGTCGCTCCATGTTGCATTAAAATATAAAATAAAGTGCGGGGAAGGCGCAGAGCGCTCTCAAGCAGCCATTCTTGCCAAGCGCGTCACGTGACTCCGGGGCTATACAGCTCTGAACGAGCACAGCTTGTCCTCCATAGCTGATTTGTTGTCTTCCTGTCCTCCCCCTCGTATTGTCGTGAAATGCGTCACTATGTCATTGTTGGTCGACGCTCGCAGATTCGTCCAATTAACTTTTTGGACGAATGAGTTGGCCGCTTGAAATCTCAAAATCGCGTCCGTAGCGCAAAACGCTTGAAGAAGCGCTGCTCGGGAGGCGTTTTGCGCTGCGGGATCCCTCGACTCGTTGAGGCGCGTCCCCCATGTATTTTCAATGCAAACCTGACGCTTTGGACGCGTTTTGTCTGAACACAGCATTAGGCGGACGGACGTGTCTTGGTAAGTTCGCAGTGGTGCCATACTCTTCCTATTTCTAAATGATGGATTGAACTGTGCTCCGTGAGATGTTCAAATCTTGGCATAACTTGATGCTACTTTAAACTTTTCCACAGCTTTATCCCTGATGTTGTTTAGTGACCAATGCCCTCTGACCACTGCTCTGAGGTCTCACAGACCAGCTGTATTTATATAGAGAGTATATTACACACAGGAGGCCTCTGTTTAATCATTAGGGAAATCTGCGAACATTAGTCATTATAGATGTTTGAAAGTCAATTTAATGAACTCAGATAAAAGCTGTTTGAATACTTTTGCACGCCCTAATTTTCACTTTTCTATTTTAAAATAATAACAGAATCATGAATCATTTTACTTTCACTTTACAGTTGTCTGTTCCTCGTGTGTCAACTCTCAATACAAACAAATCTTTCTTTATGTTTATGGTACATGTGCAAAAGTTCAAGGTTTGTCAACCAGAGGGAATCTATAGACACAAGTTCAAATGGAGATTAGACAATATTAGTCATTGATAATCTTGTTTGGGCGACATTGTTTTTTTATTCAAGAACATAGTGTTCTTTGCTGGCAGCACAACTTGTGTTGACAAGTTGTGGTAATATCTTACGCCTTCAAACATTTTCTTTCAGCACAAGGAAGCAATCCTTTTACTTCTTCGTGTTCAACCAGCGGTAAGATCAAATCAGTAATATCCAATATGATTGCTTGTTTAGATTTCTTTATTTCTTTTTCAAGCACACACAGGTTACCAACAACAAGCAAAAGATAGTGTTTTATTTTTTGTCTCATTCAGGTTAATAGTTAATTTCAAGTCTTGATGCTCTGGGAGTCTGATGTCCGTATCCGGTGAGTGTATTTTGACTGACCACTTTGCCGCTCTCTGCACGCATTACTTTTGAGAATCCACGTATTAGTCTACAACAAACTAACTGTGTAAACACACACTCTAACACATTGAATCAGCTGTATTGTAGCTGAGGTTTGGGTGTCGGTTGTTTGTCTGGTCTCGGAGTCTGCTTGTACAGACCCAGGTCTGGCGAACCGCTGCTTCTGAACTATAAGTACAATATATAAATTTGGCACACCTCTGTATCTAGTTTCAACCTTTGTTATAAACTCGAACCTAAAGCCAGTGCTCACTTAACTATATCCATCCATCCATCCATTTTCTTCCCCTTAATCCATTTCTGGGTCGGGGGGGTGGCAGTCAGAGCTGCACCCAGTACACAGAGCACCAGCCCCTCACTGATCCTCCTGCAGGTGGTGAGTCCACAGGAGCTGAGATCTTTCAGCTGGGATTTAACTATATATCGTGGATTAAACACTTTCTTTGGCGTTGTAGCCTGGCTACAACGCCAAAGAAAGTGTTTGGTGCTGCACATGGCTGCTGCTGTCTTCCATTCGGCCCTCTACTGCTCAAGTTGCCATGTGGCGAGCCTAAACCCTGAAATCCTTCTCTGAGGGTAGTGATAGCTGCGTTAAGTGTACCATAGTTATAGCTTTGGAATCCAGTGCCCTCACAAGTTTGAAGTAGGAACCATGGAGGACCACAGTTATGTAAAAGGACAACCCGAACTACAATCTTTTAGAAAAAGAAATACGTATGTATATATGAAAGCAAACTCTTAACATCGCAAACCACAAGAGAGACTAGGGTTGCCAACCGTCCCTTAAAATACGGAATTGTATTTTAGAATAACAATGTGCGTACCGTATTGAATTGATCTGGGACGGCTTTTGTCCCGTATTTTCAGAGTCGCCTTAAAAGCATCAATCACTCAATGCATCTCACACACAGTCATCTATAAGTAACATATGTATGCAGTTTATGAGTAAAAAGGGAACTCCCAGGAAGCTGTATTAGCTCATAGGTGAGGCCCCAAAACAACACATAAAACAAATGTGACCTTATACCCTTATACAATCCTAAACCCATTTCTAAACATTTTAACCATTTCCACCAAGCCCTTACAGTTAACATAGTAATGTAACTTTTACACATTGATATCCATTGCAGCAGACATGCTACATCATAAATCACATCATTCATGTGACAGTAAACAATAATAATACATCTCAGATTGCTTGACTGGTTTTCGGTTCTCAGCCTGGGGCTCATGATGTTGCATAATGTTGGAACAAACTTTTGTGTTCAAAAGTTATTTAAAAGTTCTCAATTATGTATATTGTGTAATCTACACAATGTCCTTTAATAATAAATACATCTATACAAAGTGGCTATGTCCCACAAGCTTTAAAAACCATGGTAATCAAAACTCTTCTGAAAAAAAACAAACCTTGATCCAGAATTAATTACAAACTACAGACCAATATCAAACCATACTTTTATATCTAAAATCTTTGGAAAGCTTGTTGCTAAACAACTATCCTTTAAAAAAAAATTGAAATCTTTCAAACCGGATTGAGAGCTCATCATTGACTGTCACAAATGACTCACTCCTGCTGCTGATAATGGACAAGTGTCAGTCTCAGTGCTGCATTTGACACAATAGACCACAGGTCATAGGTCTCAAAGGAACAGCCCATGGCTGGTTTGAATCCTATTTAACGGACCTCAGGAGGGTGTGTTTGTGGGTGTAGCGTCCAGTTGAGTGTGCTGTTGCCAGAAATGATGGTTAAAATGAAGTTTATTTTGTCCATTCCATTTAGTCATATAACCAATGTAAGAGCTAGAATAGAAATAAGAAATCAGCTTACAATTATGTCTATTTACTATCTAGCATTAATTACAATGTTAACCGTTATAGATAGATAGATACTTTTTTGATCCCCGTAGGAGGAGGTGTCTAGTAGCAACAAAAATAAATTAAAGCCGCAAGCGGCATCTAACGGCCCTCGCCGCACCGCGCAAAGGACTTTCCCACTGCCTTGACGGGAGCGACACTGTGCATTTTGAATGCCTATGATCAGTAATTGTGTGTGTCTTTGAAAAGGTAAACCTCATTCTCCCCATATAATACTTGACTCAGTCTGTAGGGGGCGCTATTGTGAAATTTTGTCTTTTACACTTTCAGTTTACCCAAACCCAAGAGTTGAACAATCATTTCAAATTTTGTGCAAATCGGACTTTGTATGTGCAAATGGTGGCATTTAATGTTGTACAACAGCGCCCCCTACAATTAAAATTTTTTAGTCTTTTACCAAGAACACCAAAATAATACACTTTATGCCTGAAAAAAACTTGTGGCAAAGTTTGGTGAGTTTTCATGTTTGTTTTGTGGGTCAAATATGAGATCAAACAATAGAAAACCTAAATACCTGTATCCCCATGTAAACCTTTACTCAGCCTGTAGGGGGCGCTAATGGGCCAATGTCATTGTTCAAAGTGTCATGTGACCTAGGCCCAGGAGTTGAACAACCGAGTCAAGTTTGGTGAATGTGCTCCTGTTTGCACATACAATATGAGTGTGTCCATAGCAGGGGTGGCCAACCAGTCAGAGACTAAGAGCCAATTTTTTTACTGTGTTACAGCAAAGAGCCGCATCATACAAATGTGCACTACATAAACATCACCCCAACCCTTACACACACACACACACACACACACACACACATACACGTTTTTGTTACCTGGTGGGTCCCTTTGACAGGGCCGTTCAGAATGGGACCCATAGACATAATCTTTTTTTACCAAGACTTTAAGTAATACAAAACAGTCAATAGAAACCAAACAACTATTTTAAAGGAATTTTATTTTAGATTTTGTTTTCGAATTGCAGTGATTCTATTTTTGACATAGAATTTAATGCCACTCCATGTCCGATGTCTAAGGTCATCTGGTGAGGCATTAATGCAGGCCAGGCAGTGAGACTTCCCAGGGACCTTTCCAGTCTGTATGAAAGGTGTCATGGTCTTCTCCACAGCCTTCACCTCAGATGCAGACCATGGCTTTCTTACACGTTCTAGGGAGAGAAATAAAAATATATTAGCAATATACACTCCCAGGGTGAGGACCAAGCAGCCTGGCTGTAATCCCCCACCTGGTACACTTACCAGAAGGGGCACTGCCACTACCATGGGGTGCATCTGGATGAATGGTTGAAGGTTCTCCGCTTGAAGTTTCTTTTAGCCCGTCCGTTTGTGAGAGGATCTCTACTGCTCTCCCTGTCGCACAGAAAATAAAAATACAAGTGGCCTTTAGGGGAAAAAAATCATACATATTTTAATAATATCAAGAATTACCTTCAGGCTCAATTTGTATCTGGTCGAGGCTCTTTCCTTCGAATTCCGTCACTCTTCCCTGCTCCATGGCCATCAACACTTTGCTGATTTTGGCCAGCTCCAGTGTCCCCTCTGGTAGTCTGTAATATTGCCTGTGGATGCGAATGTCATGGCCGAGGAAGTTGGCAAGTATGTCCATCTCATTCTCTTTCATATTGAGAACTGTAGACATAGTAGCTATGTGCTTTCTAAGTTTGGTTGAGGATAGCATCTCTGGATGCACCGCACCACATTCTTTGGCTACCTGGCGTAGGGAGTCTGATCCCCTGATGTGGGTGTCTGCGCCCGGGCGGGAAAAGAAGTATGGGTTATGGTCAGAGATGGAACAGGCCCTTCTGTTCTCCACCAGCACCTCCATCGAAGCAATCATTTCAGGAGTCAAAAGAACCGGCACTTTCCGACTTCTTTTCCCTTTAATTTCAATGCGTTGAAAATGCTGACACAGCTTTTTCTCAAGTTGGGACAGTCCCAGAGCAATGTCAGAATGGATCCCAGTCTTACTTCTTAAGGTAAAGGCTGTCAGTGGCATCTTTGAAACCTCACCTTCCCTTCTTCGATTGAAAATGATGACCTCACAAAGAGTCAAAACTGCCAGTTTAGACCAATGCTTAGACGTTGGCTCACTTATTAGGGTTTGCACATATTCAGGTCGACATACCTCAATATGTGCATGCATGGCTCTAACGTCCTCAGTCAGAGGGAGCAGGTCCGGAGTGTTCCACTTGGCTTGCCGGAGGGTCTGTAGGGCAGCAGAAGAAACACAGACGTCCCACCTCTTCTCAAAAAGCAGCCGGCTTCGTTGGAGGTTTTTAATAAATAGTTCATCAACACAATGCTCCATTTTTGAGTCACATTCAAGAATATCTGCTAGCTTTCTGAGGCTATGGCCGAGTTTGAGGGCCAAGGATGGAGTCTTGTATTGATTTGTTTCCTCATCATATCCAGCCACAGACCTGACTGCATCAATCACATGGTTAAAGTTGGAAGGAATAAAGAAATCCTTAATTGTTTTCAGTTTCCCTGCGGTTTTTGCTTCGTTAATTAACCTACCGACTTCTCTCATTTTCTGCCTAATGTAATCATGCTTTGTCTTATCATGCCCGTGTTTTAAGTACAGGTGCTCTCCGAGTCTCAGAATCCCCTTTTCTGCTTTGACAACACCCGTGACCTCATCCTGATGCATTGCCGAAATTAAAGACCACAGCTTTTTGCTGATGCCCTCCGGTACAGGCTGGGCTAGGGAGCAGAGGGACTGGACCCTACTTCTACCTGGTTTAGCCTGGGCATCTTTCTGTGAAAGCCGGCACCTGGCCACATGCCTCCACAGCGACTTTCGCTTAAGCAATGCCCCACAGTCTATACAGTGCAAAAACTCACTGGATTTAACTGGGCAATTTGGCTGTTTAGCTGGGACTAAAGTTCCAATGCCGGCCTTTAAAACCTCAAAATTGTGCTCACGGTTTCCACTATTCCTGATCAAATCAAACTGAAGTTTACGTGCTTTAGATTTCACAGGTAGAGCCAATGCTCTGGCTACGTCACTTTCATTTCCATGTTTTCTAGTCAAATGACGGGACATTTTGTGGCAGGACATTGAACAGTAG